ACAGTCAGAGGTACCCTGCTCTAAAATGTAAAACACACTATGTCATTAAGGAGTCCTGCTTTAGTGAATCTGAAAGAATTAAACCAGTTTATGGATAGACAAAAGAATTCTTTAGAAGGAGTGGCAAATTCTGATGGATTACATGAACAGCTTACAAAGGAGGAAATAAAGTAATCTTAATATTTCTCCCTGCTTCACAGGCTTTCAGTACTTAGCTCAAAACAAACCATTCAAAGAGTTTTCTGGCTAGGCAAATTAATACAACAGTACACACACACACACACACACACACATATATATATATAACAGTCACCAGTTCTTTCTTAAAGCCACTGCTTTACTCCTTTTGCAGAACTGTGAAGATAAATATCAACCAGTTTGTGCCACAGTGCTGCTAAGCACAGGAGATAGCTTCAGGGAGAAACAGCACGAGCAAGGATTATCCAGAGCCATGGGAAGTGGACCCAATGATTGAGAAGGGACAGCAGCCTGGGCTTCCAGAGAAGGAGGCAGCAGGGCTGTGAGGTTTTTGCCATAAGATTCACAAACTGCCTAAAATTTCAAGAACTACATCTAACAAACACAAACCAAGTGCCTCTAGATCATCTCAATCACAAACAGAATGAGCTCGACCCCAGGAACACCCAGACTTCGCACTTCTGGTGATGGAGAAATTGTTATTATTTAAGATATAGTGTGGGGCACTGTTAAAATCAGCACAAGGAAAACAGAAATCTAGCTCTCTGGTAAAATATCTCTCACCCTAATTTCTGGAATCTTTAAAATGTCCCCAAGTACCTGAACTGGATCATAGAATCACTTAGCTGGAAAGGATCCTCAAGATCAAGTCCAAATGTAAACCTACCACTGCCAAGTCCTGCACTATACCATGTCCCTAAGTGCCACATCTACATGTCTGTTAATACCTCCAGGGATGGTGACTCAATCATTTCCCTGAGCAGCCTGTTCCAATGGCTGACAGCACAAATAACTCCATTCACACCATCCCCAGGCTCAGCCATCCAGTCAGTGTTTGCCCAGTAAACACTTCTCCAAGCCATGGACAGCCTGCTTCTCCAGGAGGACACTGGAGAAAATGCTGAAAATGAGAAATGCTGTTAAAAGCTTTACCAAAGTCATGGTAGACAACATCCACAACCTTTCCCTCATCCACTGAACAGGTCATTTTGTCATAGGAGATCAGGTTGGTGAAGCAGCACCTCCCTTTCCCAATCCGTGCTGGCTGGGCTGATCCCCTGGCTGCCCTGTTCCTGCTGTGTGATCTCACTTAGGACAATCTGCTCCATGACCTTCCCTGGCACTGAGGGCAGGCTGACAAACTCCTGGTTCCCCAAATCCTCCTTCCAACCCATTCTGTAGATGGGTGACACATTTTGCAGAATTCCAGCCAGCAGAGACCTCCCTGTTTAGCCAGGACTGCTAGTAAACATTTGAGAGATGCTTCAGCTTTCTGCTGTGTGGTCAGTTGTTTTCTGTGCCTTCTTCACAGTTTGATTACTTGAAAGATGTGAGGCAGTCCCAAGAGACCTGAGACACATGAACAACAAAGGGCTTCCTCACTGATATTTCACATTATCACTGGAAGCCAAAGGCAGCATTTTAAGATCTAGTAGGAGCTGATATCCTAATCTTTTTAGTCTCTTGGCACCTCTGTGGGCAGTTTCAGCACTCTTTTTATTTCAGAAATCTAGATTCTCTGCATATTAGCAATAAAACAGTTGCTAAAAGGAGGATAGACAGAAACTCACAAAAATTTAACTCTATCTGAGGAAGTTGACTCCTCACAGCCTTCAAAAAAGTTGAAGATTTCTTTCAAGTCCAAATATGCTTCTATTGTAAAAAGGTCTGTTTGTACAAGGATTTCAGAGATAACACAAATTCTTAGGACTTCATGGTGAGGTGAGTCAAGGTTTTCTGGGATTGTCGTAAAAACTGATTACACATTGCCAGATAAGAAATTCCTCAAATTATTTAAACAGCTGACACATAAATGACCTCCTACTAAAATGACCTCTTACTTTAAAAGTGGTGGTCAGTACTAAAATAATCTTTATGCATACACTTTGCTGCTGACATAAATCTACATCTGAAACAAAACTTGTGCAATTGAGCATCTTTGGAATGTCCTTCAGAATTCTAATGAAAACATTTTTATGTGCAGATATAATTCAAAATTTTGTAAAAACATCATTGTGTTTATAAATGTTTTGGTAAACTAGGTCACTACTACTTTCAGTACATTGAAACTAATTTTAACTGGGAAAAAAAAGGAAATTGAGCAAGAAGAAATTAGATATTGTTCTCACATGGTTGAAAGCCTACAAAAAGGCCATCTTTACATTTCATGCTGTTCTTGACAGGGGCACCTACTCCAGAAAACTTACCTAGCAGTTACATACTTCAAGCAAAGAAAATTGCAATCTCTAGTTGTTTAATCTCTTTTCACTTATGAAACTCCAGCCAAGCATTCTAAATTACCACAAAAATAATGGCAAACCACATGAAAACAATTATTTTTAATACCACAAGAACTTCAGAAGAAATCCCTAAAACTTCTAGAGTCAAAAGAACGCATTCTAGAACTTTTAATTAGAACTTGTGGTTGCTATGGGAAAAAAATTGTCACAACAATGCCACATCTTTCTGTATTTAATTAATCTAAAAACTGAAAAAAAACCCAACCTCAAAACAAACACTCCCCACCCTCTCAGTGTTTAGGTATGCAAGAATCCAGAGTTCTTATGTCACTGAGTTCTCCACAGAGTTACTTTTTTCCTGTCCTAATGTCACTTTCTGCCACCAGTTAGGCAAACTCTTGTCTCAGTGAAGCGTTATAGCTATTCACGAGGGGGGTTTTGGTTGGTTGGTTTTTTGTTTGTTTTGCTTGTTGATATTTTAGAGCTGTCATTTCCTTTGGTATTGATGTCACAATTCTGAAATTAAAAGTAAATTATCAATTATCATCCATGTTCAGTTTGATTTGAATGGTACACACAGACAGACACTACTGAGCTGGACATAGTGCACACCCACAGGAGGACAATTACCACATTAGGTAGCTTAAAAATTAAACTGGACTCATGCTTAGAAAAGCACAGAGAAAAACAATGGCTTAGCCTATGCCTAAAGCAGTCCCAATACCATGTATTTTCTTAGATGAGATATGATAGATTTATCTGTAATCTATGTTAGATTTATCTGTAAGTTGAGTATTACACAACTATTGCAGGTTTTACTTGGTTAAATGTCTATTATTTAACCAAAAAAAAAAGTTTAAAACCTCTTCAATTGGACAAATTATTCTCACAAAAGACAACTCTTCATCCTTCCACAGCTCCAAAATACTGTGGTGAGGTAGGTACACGGGAAGGCTGCTTTCTCACTCAAAGATTGCTTCACAGATTCTTCAGGGTGTCTCTCTTAGCCAAGAGTATTTGCTCCCAGCTATCATTGCACCTGTCTCATCACTCCTGTTTGAGCAACAGATGCAGTGTTGCAATGACTCTCTTCAAATGCAATCAGGGCAGGTTTCTCTCAGGCCTCCCCCAGTGTTGTACTTGTACACACACATCGAAACACCAACATTAAAGCAGAAATGTTGAAGTCTCAGCAGGGGAATTCAGAAGCCTGCCCCTGTTCATCCTGTAGTCGAAATCTGAAAGGCTTTAACAAACATGGTTTAAAAAGCAGCAGATGGTCTTTACCTGTCTGTCTCTCCACATACAGAGATTGTACATGGGCACTCACACACACAGGAATTATGCATTTCCTTTAAAAGGAGGTCCAAGAAGTAAAATTCCCTTTCTAAATGCATTAAGGAATATTAAAGTTTTGAAGCATTATTTCCTTTAGAGTTTGCCTATGAGAATTACACAGTCAGAGATCACCTGCTTATACTTTATGGCTTAAAGAAATCCAGGCACTCCTTGATAATGAATAAAATAGAGATAATGCTACACAAAGAATGCTATTCAAATGCAGGTGAAAAAGACTCCTTTCTTCTGACTTTCTTTCATCTCTTCTACCCTCCACAATAGGGATGGTCTTCAAAATTACAGATGTCTTCCTGCAATTGCTTAAATCTAGTCTTTGGCTAAAGTGCCTCTCTCAGCTCAGACTACACTTAAAATTTAAGCCATTTGAATATTTGAGACAGCCTTGACAGATAAATTTCAATAATCACTTCTATGAGTATTATCCACTTCAGTAAGAGGGCCTCGACGCTCTGTGGCGTCTGTCTGCAGCTGCCAGAGAGCACACAAATGCATATGGATAGCAGCCAAGGAGGTACCTTAGAGCATTGTTTCAGATAACTTCACATATCCAGAAATGTTTCTTCTGCTCCAGCCTGGGAGTCACCCAGAATCGTTAGCCCTCGTTATGAGCTTGAGTAAGACACCACCTGCGTTGAAGATGGTGATAGTTATAGTAGGTTCAAAATATGAATGGACAGAGAAAAGACTCCAAACCCACCTGAAAAAGCTGTAATTCCTCTCTATTTATCAACAGGTAAATGCAAGGTATTAAAACATCTGATGAATTTCCCTGGGCGCAGCCAATTAACTTCTGAATTGACTCCACAATAACTGCAAATTAGTTCACTCTCTAAATACTCTTGGGGGTGGGGGTGGAATTGGAATGTTACTTTCATTTGAATCGGTGCATTGTTTGTATTTTAAAAGAATAGTAAAGGTGCTGTAGAATTCTTTCCTACTATCCTAGAATGAGCAAGTAACATATTGCACAATATTGGATTGAAATTCACACTGTAAGTCCAAAAGTTTCAAACTTCAGAAGAGTGTAAGAAGAGTTCTTTTTCTGATCAACCCAGGAATCAGTTCCTGTTCTCCAGGAAAGGAGAAGGAAACAGCATGTTGCTGTCTGTAGAAACCTCCAGAAAATCAGCGCATGCTGCTAACGCAGACTGGGACGTGACACAGCAAGTGTAAGCACCTGCACAAACAAATAGCCTCCTCAGATATATGTAAGCTTATCATTTATTTGGCAGAGAAGAAATTAAAAGTGTACCAAAGCTGCAAAATGAAACATAATAATTTCTTAAAATAGAAAACTGAAACAGGGATTAATTGATGGCTAGGCCAATGGAGAGTATCCTTCAATTTATCAGATTCCTGCAGATTGAAGATTACGTGCTGTAATACACGTCACACAGACAATGAAAAAATCATTGAACTGCAGAAGAGATCTGTTGCTTTAACAATTCACTCTTCATACAACAGTGAGCAGAAATAAAAACGTTCACGGCTGCCCTTTCTTCCTGTTTAGGTCTAGGACACAAGAAAAGCTTCCAAAGTATAAAAGGGAATCTTGTCTTGTTCTCTTATCTTTTAAGGAGATAAATAGTGGCATTCATTAACGTCACATGAATCACTTTCCTTAATACAGGTACAGAACAAACAGAAATGTCCGTCATTTTCCAGCTACTTATTGTCTCATAATGACACACATGTTTAACTTGCCAGGTAGGGCCATTATTATGGAGAAAGGGAAGAACAGTATGGTTACTGTAGCTGAATAATTATGTACCACAACACCTACAAGTTGAAACAAAATTGACGTAAAAGTGAAGGAGCACAAACAGAGTTCAGGCAAACAGTGATGGTTTTTCACTGATAAAGATGAAAGATGCAGATTTTGTAAAGTAAACATGCAGAGCAGCCTGTAGCTTCCAGTGAGTGATTTTCACCCCAGTTCAATCAACACGTGATTTCACCCAGATCCTAAGTTTCTGTGTTTCTTGGACATGTTTCTACACATCTGCTACCATGAACATCCTCCTGATTCACTCAAGCATGACTACACAGAAAGAAATCCCAAGTTTAAAGTTCAAACCTTATGCTTAACTAAAGAACATGCTGAAAGATACTTTCAGCTTATCAGTTTTTTCCCTGTTTAATCTATTATGGATGTAACTGCTATACTGGCTTAGAGGAATCTGCTTTCTATGCCTTCAACATTTTTGGGACAAACAGAATGGAACATCACTGCATATGAGTCAGCAGTGGGCCCTGGCAGCCAGTAGAGCCAACTGTATCCTGAGGTGCAGGATACAGCATCAAGCAGGAATTACAGAAATTTTATTTTTAGTAGATTGCAGGAAAAAAAAATGCCCAAAAGTCAAATATTGTGACATTGTAATTAGGGATTAAAGTGTGACACACAATTCAATATTTGCCAACAATGACAAAGTACAAAATAGCTTTTTTTTCACCAATCATGCCTCCTGCAATGGAAAATGATACAAAGATAGTATGTATCTTAAAGGCACACATTTCCAGCTCATGTTAGTATACTCCATTTTTATGTTTTATAAAAAATTATTCACGAAAATAGATGTCTTCATTGTATTTCTTGCTTTGGTATGTAAAGAATAGGCTGTCAGAAGACATTTGAAAGAATAAAATAGAGAAAGCTAAATTTTTAATCTGAAAAAATTTACTTTGAGGAAAATTTGCTTCAAAAGCAAGCATACCCATTACCAATTATTCACTTTTTGGCAATTTACCCATTGTTCCTATCCCAAATCATCAAGAAGGTACTGAATATTTAATCTGTATGGGCACATATTTGTTGTCTTACTTCTGCTGAAGTGCTAGATGTTGCCAAAGGGTACATTTCCTCTGAATTAAGGAGATCTGACTGCTACCACCCATCTGAACTCCACACATTTCCTTCACAGGCTGATGACTGACACATTATATCTGCTTCAAATAACAATGCTGGCAAAGCAGGCAGGTGCAAAGAAACTGCAATTCAACCTTGTGTTAGCCTTGCCCGGTTCCGAAGCTCCAAAGGTTTATTTAACCTGCAAAAGCTGCCCTGCGTGCTGGGACAGCACAGCGGATGAGAGCACCCATGCGGGTGAGACGGGACACAAATCCCATCCCATCCCATCCTTGTATGCAACAGCGCCTTCCAGCGGCTCCGAGGGCGCAGGAAAAGCCCTGGCTCGCAAGAAGGGATGGCAGCACACGCAGAACTGCAGCGACACAGGGCAGCCGTGCAGCCCTCACCTGCGGGAGCGCCACCTGGGCTGCCGGAACAATTTATGATAGAAGAAGAAGCTAAAGAAGCAAACTCATTTATCAAAAACTCTCACGTCAGTTTAAAGTAAAGGCTGTCTTGCAAGTAGCTGTTTACTTGTTGAGTTGCTGCCATAATTAATTCCTACAAATCATTAGGAAAAAGCAATTGCACAAACCAGAATAAGACAAACTCCCATAATTCTATTGACAATTTATATTCTCATGAGGTCCTGTAAACACAGTTATTTCATAATATTTACATGCAATATGTGGTTCCATATTTATATGTAAGAAAGATACCAATCTAATTCTGTTAAAGATCAGGCCACTGCACTTGAGCCTCCAAGTTACATTTCAATATACACTGATGATGAAACACTTTCTACTTACATCTACATTCCATCCATGCAAAGAACAGCATTAATCAGCAACTATTCAGTGTGCAAAATTTGACCTTTCATACTGGGACCTCTCTGAGAATACTGCACAATTAAGTTCTGTTTTTTTCAATTCTTAAAGGAGGCTTTTAAGAAAGACTGGAAAAATTTTTAGCAGGGCCTGGTGCAATAGGAGAAGGGGTGATAGTTTTAAACTGAAAGCGGGTAGATTCAAACTAGATATAAGGAAGATTTTTATAGCAAGGGTGGTAAGACAGTACAGGTTGCCCAGAGAGGCAGAAGATCCCTTATCCCTGGAAACATTCAAGGTCAGGGTGAGTGGGGCTCAGAAGGCATCGCTGGTCATTGCAGGAGAAGCTGGACTAGACAACCTTTAAGTTTCTTGCAACCCAAATTATTCTATAATTCCCTTTTATATTTCATGAAGTTTTATTGAGGTTTTTTTTACAGATGAGATTGACTCTCCTATGCAAACACATGTGCCATTGGTACTATGTGTTTAAAGAAACGTGGTATGTTAACTTTTAGCTTTACAGTACGAAACCTGGTTATTATAGAAGACTAAAATCATGAGTGTTTCACATTAATTAATAAATTAAATATTTTTAACTGTCCGTCTTCAGCTATTTACTCCTCTATACAGAAAAACAACCCTAAGTATATAATAGTTATCTATATTGCCAAAACAGGAAGCAATCTTCACTGAGTTTAATTTAAGGCCAGTCGCATTGGATTCTCTATATTGGCTTTCAAGGTCTCCAGAAACTTTGAAGCCAGTTCATCATCCACCACCCGACCATCACTCGAGAGAGTCACTGTCATGAGCTGATGCTGCTCAAGTTTCTCATTCCCTTCTTCATCTTCCACAATCTTGAGCGCTGGTCTTGCTCGGCCCACAGCAAGGATGCAGGCCTGAGGAGGGTTTATGACTGCTGTGAAATCACTGATGCCAAACATGCCCAGATTGGAAATACTGAATAAAACAGAAAAGAGTTTCAGTAACATCAGAAATTACATATCACCTCCAGGAAATAATCTATATACAAGAACTGCTATAATTTAAATTTCCTCCAAGGCAAAACCCATTAAGTTAAAAATAGATCTGAACTGTTTTCAGTTGAGCACACTCAGACTCTCAAGGATTTGGGATTTTTGCAATTAAAAATTATGCACCTTTTAAAAAGTCTCATTTCTTTACTGCAATGTATTCTTGCACTGCACACAATGAAGCCAGAAAGTAAGCCAGCAAAGCAATGTCTTTAAATATATTTTGCCTGTCTCTGTTCCAAGCCAAATGCCTTTTAGACTGAACATCACAACTGCAGGTTACAATGGCTGCTGGTATCCACTAAGCAATAAAATTTGGGCATCTAGGTCTCACAAGTATCACATGAAAACATTTCTGCCTGTGTCACCCCCTGTCAAGTGGTACATTAGGAAAGGCTTGAATTCTTCTGTGACAAGTTGTCTATGGAGAAAGCTGGCCCACCATCTCCTCCTTTCTAGTTACGGTTACAGCAAAGAGTGGAAAGAGGATTAAATGGTACAGTCCCACCATCAAATGGCACCACTGCCATGTTCACCACACACCAAGTCCTGAAGTGTCACATCCACCTGCTTTTTGAACACTTCCAGGGATGATGATTCAACCACTTCCCTGGACAATTTGTTACAATGCTTGACAGTCCATTTCATGAAGAATTTTTTCCTAATATCCTATCTAAACTTCCCTTGGTGCAACTTGAGGCCATTTCCTCTCCTCCTGTTACTACCGCGGAGAAGAGGCCAACCCACACCTCACTACAACTACACTTCTTTTAGGCAGAAAGAGTGAAGAGAGGTATGGTCCCTCCTGACTTAACAATTCTAGTTCCTTCAGCTGTTCCTCACAAGACCTGTGCTCCAGACCCTTCACCAGCTCCACTGCCCTACTCTGGACACACTCCAGGACCTCAATGTCTTTCTTGTGGGGATGGAACCAAAACTGAACACAGGTCTCAAGGTGTGGCCTCACCAGTGCCAAGTACAGATGAAATGAACCTGTAGCAGGGTAATTGTTTCCCCCTGATACAAGACACTCAATCTAGGTTTGACCCTCAGAACCATCACAAGGGGTTTCAATCTAAACAGAGTAAGATTTTAAAAGCAATGCATTAGAAGACAGTGAAATAGTTGAGGATAAAACAGTTCTGAACCCATGGTGCATGTATTAAATGATGCTAGAGTTTTACCTAAAAGATCCTCCCTGGTACTCTTCTGGTAACAATTTTCCATCTCTGGCCTTCTTTGCTAGAGCCTACAGAAAATGAAAGAAAACAGGCAGAGAAAAGAAAAAAATTAGTGTGTTGTAATAGACCAATTCTTTTTATTTCAGTAAGACATTTTTAAGTACCACAGAGACATTAGGTAAGCAAAAGTCACTTGCTTTTGGATTTAGAGAAGCACCTCAGCAACACTGTTGTTCTATCTGCAATGATTTGGCAAAGAGACTAGGACGCAAAACTTCATTTTCCCACCAATATTGGCTGTTCAATAAAAGCTGTTCTCTCACCTTCCAAATATTGTTCCCGTTTTTACAATGAAACCACCATTCTCTCTGGTGGTTTTAGATTATCTAGCAAAATACTGATGAGATAAATTAATAGTATTCCTAACATATTTGTTTAAAGAAACTAACATGTACCATTTCAGACCTTTCCACCAGACTGAATGAATATATTTCTCCCAGCTAAACATTCAACCACCTTTAGAAGGGTGCCTTTAAGGTCACTTCTTCTGTGATCTCCATTTCATTTGTGAGACTTTACTTTAAAATTCAACAGAAGAAAGCTTCAAATACAGCCCAAGTTCGTACTATGTTCCAAGATACGATCACAGAGCTGTACAAAATTCTAAAATTCGTAATAAGCATGTAAAAGTTACAAAGATAAACTAAGCTTTAGTTTAGGTTTTTTCTCATCTCTGAATAATTGGTGAAGACAATAGCCATGGGAACAGTATTCACACAACAGGATCAATAGAAGCGTGATGCGTTTGTGCAATTGCATTATTTGAATGATGACAATCCAGTGCCAGGATGCACATGACCTGGAAAGAAGTCAACATTAACATGCAGCAGAAGGGGACAGATAAGCAATTACACAAAGACAGTGCCTGCCAAACTACAAGGGAGACTGACAGAGAAGCATCTGCAGTTCCGGTGTGTGCACATCATTTATTTCAGTGATTCAGTGAGGAAGCTGAAAAGTAAAATGATGATAGTGTGGACACCTATGTCACACACATTCCAGCTGAAAGGCAAGGGGAATGCTCACTATCATGGCCCCATTGAACGTAGCACAAGCTGCATTTCCATTGATCTGTGGTAAGAGAGGTTTGCAATACTGCACACTATTACAGGTATTGGGGATTATAATGAAAGCACAACACTGAACAATGCTTCTCTTCTTGTCATTCTATCACTAACCTCACAACAACCTCAACTGACCTTCCTCCTCAACTGGCTACTAGTGTAAGGAATTGCTTTCACAACACATTCAGCATAAAGTAAGCAATATGGACTGGAAAAAAAATCTTAAAAGACACCCATTGATGAATGTTTTGTGGTATAACCCATCTTTTTCTGCCACAACTTTTTGGCTGTTCCCCTCCATCAACACAGACTATTATGGCTTCTATAGTTTCACACAAAAGGCAAAAATTTATGAAGTGCAGTACTGTCTAGTTTGGGGACACTTTTATGTCCTAGGACTGCATTCCTCAGATGCTGTAGGTCTTTGATTAGCACTCGTTAAATGACAAAAAATGGCCTGTCTTGGGACACTTCATCATTCATTCTACTTTTGCCTGCCAAGAACCACTCCTTTATCTGGTAACAACTGCCACATATCACTCTGACTGGCACCTGGTCTATGCAAAATACTGCTCATTAGTCTGAGGAGTTTAATGTTACATCCTTAATTGAACTGCATATCGGAAAAAAAATGCAGACAGAAATATGTTCCATAATATAACTGCAAAGAGTAGAAAACGCAGACACAAGACATTTTCTGGGAAAGGGAAAAAACACAAAAAAACCAAAATCTCAAACCCCAAGATTGGGAATACTAATGAAACTAGCATTAAGTAGCATTCTTTTGAGGATTAAAGAATTTCAATTATATTAAACTGCAAAAGTCTGTACAGGTTTATTTTTCAAGCAGTCTAGCCACCATTCAACTAAATAACACAATATTATTGTTGATGAAAAATGCAGTTGCAAAATTAACAACAATTTTGAAGGGTAAGTAATGCTGAAACCGCTTTAGTTCCACTGCCTTTGTTATTACTGATGTGTATCTGGGTCACGCTACGTTTTCTGCTACAGAAAACCATACAGCTGCTCCATTCCTCAGCCTGCTGTACATTTCAGACCCACCTTTGCAGAGGCAGCAATTTCCTTTATTCCCTTGGCAGCAACATCTTTTATGATTGGCGTAATGAGCCCTCGGTCCGTTGCCACGGCAATGGAGATGTCAATGGACTGCAGCCGCCTGCAGGCTTCCCCATCCCACGTTACATTCACATCTGGCATTTGCTAAAACACAGACAGACAAAAAAAAGACAGCTGTTAGAAGAATAACAGTGCAATCAGTTATTAAGAAAAAGGAAATTCCTTTAAGACACATAGCTACCTAAAGGCACCCACCAAGCGAATTAGCTTGCTGATTTTATTAATTTTTACTTCATCAAAAAGAAGGAAATGTGTGCACCAGAAACTAAAAATGGCAGGACAGACAGAAGTTTGTTTGGTGTTGCTAGGGAAAAAACCCCACATTACTTCAAATGTAACTAAAATTTCTTCACTGATACCACCTAATGATGGCCAGCACGTAAACCCTCAAAGCAATGCAACTTCTCCCACAAAATAAATCACAGGATGCTGGATCTTAAAGCATGGAAATGGACATCCTACTATACCCACATGTTTTTCACTGATTTCTCAAGCATGATTCCCAACAAATAATTTATGTTGCAGGTACACTCACTGTTATTCAGATGTTCTCCTAAAATGCATCAGATTATTTTTGTGGGTGGACTAAGTTAAAATTGAGATGTTCACTGATAATTTCATTTAGTTTTTTGAGTTTAATGAAATGAAAAAGGTATTCCAGAAAAATTACAGGAGGGACACAATATCAAAAGTGACTGTCTATCCAAAGTAACTGCACTCCTAGGAAGAAGTGGTATGACAGTACTCTGTGTTTCTATTCTTCAACACCAGCATGTACAGGGAAAAAAAAAAAAAAAAGAAGGAAAGAGAAAAGAAGAAAAAAGTATGTAGTATTCTTCTTTGCAAGCTAAATAAACTTCTAGAAGTCCTAAGGTTTACACAGTTTTAAGATGCTCTCAAGCAGGTGCTGTGCAACTCAAACTCTTATATAAAAAAGGTATTCAAAAGAGACTGTAGGGACAGAATTTGTCACTTCATAAATGAAAGGACAGCTGCTATAGGAGGTTTTGCTACAAAGCCCAGCCACTTGAGGATATCAGCCTGGAAGTTTTACTTCCTTTCTGCACCCTTCTCCCTCCTTGTACCAGAAAGAAGAATGGTTCTACTGGGCAGTCACCTGGTGAGCCCACTGGCACATTCATAAAATCTTGCCTGTCAAATATCTAGACCAAGCTGAAACACAGAAGCCATAACTGAAGTTGTGATATCCTAAGTGAAGGAGAAATTTAGCATGTTCAAGAACCAATACAAACAGTATCTTGAGGTGTGTCATAACCTGTCAAACCAGCTGCAGTCAGCTCATTAGAGCTAGAACAACACATTTTCCATTGTTCAGAAATAAAGTAGTAACAAAATATTCCCTGAAGAGCACTCAGAAAAGAGTCAATGAAACTGCCTTGAATTTAAACTTGAAGATGTATTCACACCACCCAGCTTCAGGGAGGAGAGGTAGAGGTGGAAGTGGGTTTTCTTTTTTTTAAAGCAGTTGCCCACATCTTTCCCTAAAATACTGACAGAAAGTAGAGGAGATGTGAGCTTGATCATGAACTTGTTTCCTGATATACTGAGTTAAATCTGTTGGGTCTTGTTTAATGTATTATTTTAATAGTCAAACAAATGCTAGCTTAGATTTCTAACAAAGCAAGAGGATAGAAGAATTTTATTGATTACTTCCATATCAACACAATTTTATTATCAGCTCAAAAGCTAACAGCCCCCTCAGAAGACAAAACACAAAACCTCTTGCTCTCTGTCTCCTGTTCCTTTTACCTGCTCTCTGGTGCAGAGATAAGTTATCCAATACTCCCAGCAGTTTATGGTAAACTTTGGGTATCACTATTTCCTCACAAAAGGTTTCATTAGACCACTAAGAAAGCTTCTTGTTATGTACACATCTAACAAAAGCACAGCACATATTTAGCTCCTCCTTTTGGTTTTGGTATTAACTCGCAGGTTTTTTTCCAGTCTAAATAAGGCCTCCAATTTCTCTCAGGCACTTGCTTATGAAACTGTTTAGAATCCTGTCTATTTCCTGTCCAAATTATACATTGAGCTATACCTCTTCAAATTATACATTAATATTTAGTACATGTTCAGCTAGAAATCTGTTAAGTCTTTTCCAGTCCAGTGTTCTCTCAATTCCATACATCCATAGGAACAGGAACACTCCTCCAACTTAAACATAAATTCCTCTCAACCTTTTAACAGTTTGAATTATCCTCACAAATGAGAAAACCAGCTCTCACATCCTTTCCAATGTTTTTATATTATTGTGAGGTAATCCAGGCCATGAGAATTCCTAGCAATGAGCAGAGTGGTTGCCAGAAGAATTTTTATTTCCAAGCAGGTATCACTCAATGCGCCATCAGAATACACCTGAGGTAATAACAAGGTTTGTGTGAGACTTAGATAAAGACTTGCTTATAACTAAAAGAAATAAGATGTACCTAAGATTAAATTAATGATCTTGGCAATGGCTGTAGCCTGCTGACTAAACAACTACTATGATTTGCAGATGTTAACTGCAGTAAGTGGATCTCCACTAAGAAGTTCTCATTTTTATAGTTCACAGCATAGACAGTGAAACCTGGAAACCTTAAAAAACCTGACAATAAGTAATACAGAATTACCAGCTTTACTGTGATCCTACTCATATCTCCACATACTCAAAAAATACTTTTCTTGTCTCCTTGTCAGTTTACTACTAAAATATTTTTTTAAAGTCAATTATTTGCTTACCTTCAGAGTAACTGCTGTTGCCTTGATAATAAAATCATTTACAGATACTTTAATGTCATCTGCAAGGGGAAACAGAAAAATTTTAAAAAAGGATAATCATTGTTTGTAAGATTTGCTTTATCAGCATTTGTGTGATGACAAGATTCTAGTGATTCAGCAGATTTATTTCTTTGAAGCATTAACAGAAAGTCACTTATCTTCCAAATCCAATAATTAAGAGGGAAAACTTTTTCCCCCCTTGAGACAAAAGGCATATCCATCAAGAAAAATCTCATGCAAAGGCACTCAGAGTTTCAGGAGACTAAAACTGGTAACTAAAATCAGGAGTGGCATCAGAAGCAGGGATAAGAGATACAAAGCAGATTAGGCCATAAAATTACCCTGAAATGCACATATTTACACAATATTTACACAATATTAAACTCATCATTCTCACAATACAAAAAAACTACATTACCCTTCCACCACCATCACCACTGTCAGAAAAACTGATCAAGTAGCAAAACTGCCTAATTTTCAAATATGGTTTATGGCATGTAACATACACATCTTTAGAAATATTTTTGCAAGGGAAAATAATTTATAAATAATTATATCAAGTGAAACATTAAGTCATCACAAATTTAGAGGAGTGAACCAAGTATTCACTTACCACATAACTGGCCTGCAACATTTGCCATGATTAGTAATCTATGTGTAAGAAGAGAGACAGCATTCCAACAGAACATAATGGAACTTTCAATTCTATGCTGCACTGACAATTTCACATCAGACAAACCTGTACCTTCATCATCAAATATACACTGGTTTCTGTTTACATGCTACATTCCTAACCCTTGGCAAAAATGTCACTGTCTGGTACTAGAGCAGGAATACAGTTAAATGATCCACATCTGCTAATATTTTACCCTGCATCAGTGAAGCTTATAATAGTAGAAAACCCCACAATTTCCTTCAGAGGAAACATAAAAATCTACCAGGACAAGCTCTGTAATTCAGTTTCATGCAAAGACATACGGCTTTTCCACCTCTGCATTTAAAGGAAATACTCATTAAGAATCAACAACAGCAGGAGAGGTGTGAAAAATTTCAAGTGTGTATTCCTAAAATCCTTTTTTGGTTCATTCCTTATGAACTGCTGCTGTTTAAAGAAAATATCAACATCAGAAAATGTCTTTGACATTCATTTGTGAATAAGATACCATCAGGAAAATAACAGGTAGAACAATCACCTGGGTACTGTTGCATTAAAAATTAGTCACTCAAAACTCCAGCAGAAGGACGAGCTCCTGTATCATCATCTAGAAAACCTGAATACATCTGTCAAATTTAATTTTAGACCACACAAACGAATAAACAAGCATGGGCTAGTCACTAGTACAGAACAGCTGGCCTCAGTTTCTCAATCAGTAGAGCAATAAAAATGTAAACTAAAATATTCTGTTGCATTATTCTGGATGCAGAGCTCACATGGCTTAGGAAAGCTACTATTTGAACCTATATAAGCTTTCAAACAATGGCAGTAACCATGAAGCTTTAGATCAACATTTGAAGTGTCTTAGACCTAAAATTATTTTACCCAAGTCACAGACTTAGTACCAGTCTAGGAGGTGCAGGTCTCCATCACCGAACAGAGCATCACTAGTGCTTATGCAGCCTGGTAATTGTGGAAAATAGGACTTCAGAGTGATGTGTGAGTTGCCAAAGTAACACCTCTGTCTCCCTATATCCTGACAAGCTGTCCAATTCAACAACTTCCAGGAACTACAGCTTGAGTCCAATATACTGAAAAAAAGCCTATTTGAATGCATAATGATCTACCTAGACAAAATCTCCACCTCCTGGGGAAGTTTATGTAAACAGGAAAAATTAAACTATAGTATAACCACATTAGTATTACCACATGGTAAAGTAAATCAGACTACTAACCTTTGGCCAATTCTTTTCTTAATTTCAAAACAGCATCAATGGCACAGTCAGCAGCAGCATATGCATGAGGTATGGTGGTTTTAGATTCTGTTAATCTCTTAGCAATTACTCTTCGGATGTTGCTAGCTGGGATTTCTGTGAACGTGCCCTAAAGAAATCACATGGTGCATATTAAATACCAGGACAGCAATCAGGTCCCCTTTGCTGAAAGTACTCCAGCATTTATGCATTAGCATCAGTGACTCCTGCCCATGTCTGCTATCCCTTAGGTATGTATCCAATGTGCATCCCCCACGTAATGTATCCAAAAGTGACACATTCCAATTACTGAAATCAATATGACAAAGACCATTGAGTGTTCTAGTCTATTCCTATTAACTGGGATCAACACAACAGGTTTTACATAACAATTCCATTTTATTGTATAGAATTAACCTTGCTTAAAAAAAATAATCCAAATATTGAGGCATTTATTTTCAGCCAGAGTACATAGGCACTGTTCCATCTTCCAGACTTGGCATATTGCTCAGATTATGTTTTTCGCCATTTAAATTATAAAAAGAACACCTCCTCAGTAAGCTACTGCTTTTTCAATTCCCTGTGTAATTTCTTAAGACAGGCTTTATTGCATCTTTTCTGTTATTCTTCTCTCTCCTTCAATAATGTTTCAATTGCCAACTTTTTCCTAGAAGCAGGTCAACTTGCAAGAAATCTCTTAAAATATTAGTGACTACAGAAGGCAAGAAGATAAATGATTCTGTATACTTATATAATTATTCTGTATACTTAATCTTTAGCACATATCCCTTGAACATACAAGGATTCATAGAATCCTTAGTACATATTCAATAGTACTCAACACACAATAAATTGCAATATGTATGTTCCGATGCAATCATAGAAACATTTTATTCTGTAATGGATCCAAGTCTGAACTTTTGAGCTGCTTGGCTCTTTGTACAGTGCAAAAAAAGGGCAGCATTTTCTGAATATTATGAATTGTAGCTACATTGCAAACTTCAGACTATAAAGATAAATCTAATTTAGTTCTAGAGCCACAAAATGTTTTTCACAAAAGCTTTTCAATTTCTACTGATGTCTATTGCAGCAAAGGCATTTATTCTTTAAAAAATATTTTTTGGTATTTCCAACATTTCAACTTAACATAGAAACTTACTTAGGTTATAGAGTTTGCAGAATTACTCTCCAAGGCAACCACCAAGAAGCCTTTTCCTTCCTCACTTCTTGACAACTCATTAATGGACACTTATATCTTGCAGGAAAGCAAACTAATTAAGTACAGTAAAAATAAATCATCATTCTAGTTTCTCCAAGGCCTGCAATATAAATTTTTCCATCACTTTAATTTGCAAGCTTAACAAAATAGTATGCAGACCACCATTTCAAGGATTTCACAGTTTTAATTACATTGCCTTAGAATCACAGAGACATACTAAAAACTGCACATCCCTGAGCTTGGCATATGGGTGGCCTTAGTTTCCTTCCTCTCTCTAGATCTAGAAGTCTCAGAGCTACTGAAGCAGCTTTTGCACTGTTCAGCTGTAGCAATGCTGAAATCTTAGCAGAAGTGTTACCAGTGCAGCAGGTTGTCCTGGTTTGGAAACTGGTGGAATTGCTGGCCTTGGATAAGAAGTCATGGCTGGTGCTTGAGAAGGAGAAGGCACTGCAGCAGGAGCTGGAGAAACCACAGGTTTCAGTTCACTGGGTTTACCTTTCTGCTTCTCTTGCAGAAGTTTGAGAGCATCCCTGGGGATTAAACACAGTGAAATACTGACAACAAAGAAACTATTTAACAATTACCTGAGTATTACTATTCCATCACTTATTCTATTTAATTAGCCACTTCCGTACACTTAAATTTCTGCTGCCAAACCAAACATTAAGAAGGTGATTATTATTAGAAGATATTAATTTTGTGCTGCCTTTGTGGTATCTTTTTAGTAAATTCTCATTAACTTCTATGAATAAAAGGGCCTGAATATGCAATAACAGAAAACATTTGTGTTAGAGAAGCATAACAATCATCATCACTAACTGCAAGCATGCAAAGTGATTTTTGAAATGCACTGACAATTCTTCTAAATGAAAGAATACATTTATTCAGGCTACAAAGTCTAAAGTAAAAGCTGTTTTATCTGTTGTATTTGTAATAATCTGAATTTAATGTAATTACTTAGTGCTAAGAGGAAACTGAGTAATACATTTATCACTCATTTCTCTGCACCTTTCTGACAAATTTGCAGAGTGAGGCACAGATGTTATACAGACCCATACTTTCTAACACCACACTGGAGATACAAAGCCAAAGCATTCTGCAAGGATTCTTTACTGATACAGCTACCAAGACAAAATTTTCCTGTTGTGGGCACAGTATGACAGAGAGGAGAGACTCCCATCTCCAAGCCAAGACACTGTGTCTGCTCCAGGTGCACTGCACTCAAAGAAACAAGCTAAAGACCAGCACCTATGAGGCACAACAGCAATAACTGCATTTCCACCACCCCTGCCAACGGCAAGGCAAGTCAATTGTAGATCTCTCTTTATTCTCCAGATCCGCTAACAAATGCCTGTATAATATACCCTAGACAAATCTCTATGATTTCACCAAGACACAGCATGTACCTAAAAGTTCATTTCCACAAATTGGCAGAGGAAATTAAAATAAATTAAAAAACAGACTCCTTACAACACTTCCAAGGTTTTGAAATACAAGTCATAAATACTAAACAAAGCTACCTAATTTCAGTACTGCTTGAGAGACTATTCTTGAGTGACAGCAAAGAGTTTGTTAATTAAATCTTTATAGAAAGAACAAAATCTCAGAACATTATGCATTCTCCATTCCTCCTAAGAAGTAGTACTCCAGAAACAAGAATTAAAAATCGAAAACCTCTGCAGAATGCCTCTTACCATCGCTGACTCACTTCAATTTATTTTTACCTTCAATACATACTTCAACAAACAATATTGAAACCAAAAAAAAGCAAATGAGCTCAAGATAAATTTTTTCCTAATTAAAAGTAGTTACTTGTTTTCCCAAATTAATATGCTCACCAAGATTTGTTTTAAAATTAAGTATTTATTATTTGACACAACTACTGTTGTGTCCCTACTATCAGGGAAAAATATCAGATTGGATAGAATGAAAATCATTCCATAGCATGACAATTTGAGCCATAAAAAGTAACAGCATGACATAATGCAAGCTTTTTGGTTAACATTTAGAAGCTACCAAAAATTTGTTAAGGGCTTGCACTTGGCAGTCATAGGAGAGACCATCTGGTTTTGGTGGTTTTTAGTGTGTTAATTGGAAAACATTGCCAAAATTAAGCTTATTTTTAGATTAAAAGATTCGCTCAATATTTTCTGAAACTAACTTGTACAAAAGGCACATATATAAAAATCAAAGTTCACATGTATTTGTTGTACATACATATGAATAGAGATCCTCCATCAATTCCAAATTATTTAAGTGGTTAAGAAAAACAGGTACAGCAGTGTTATGACTGTCATGGTTGCAAAACTGCATATAAGCAGAATATATGCAGAGTTAGAAGAGGCATCTAAGCATATAAAATTAAACAGCTTTAAGTTAAAGTCAGGTAAGTAGATATTTTATTACAACTGGAAAAGGAAGGGTTGGTCACATCTTTCCAACAACTCTATAAACTTCTATCAACATGGGTCAGTAACAGAGGAAGAGAAGAAAGTCAACAAACATCAAAGAGCAGCCTACTTTGCAGAAAAGATGAAAGTTTAGTAAACATTTATTAAACCAAAATATGCTTACCAAACTGTTATTATTAGAAATATGCAGATTCTGGCAACTTTGTTAGACTTCAGTTTACCACTACTACAGAAGCATGTAGTCTTTTTACTTCATGTTACCCAAAACCCAAAGAATGGTGAAAGTAAACTGAGTATTTTGTGTTCAAATACTTGATACAAGTTAGGTTACAGACACCTAAGAATCACTGAGGATCCAACAGTGCAACAAGAGATGCCTGGATTGACACAAGCTTCCTGTGGTGGCAGTTACTGTTACTAAATTGCACCCAACCCCTTTCCTATGTTTCATATTCCCTTTCCACGTGTTTACTCATTCATAGTTTCCCTGCAAGAAGGCAAATGGGTAGCAGAGATTCAGAGCACATCAAATACCTCCAGGTATCACATTTACTGCACTATCATTGTAGAAGGAACTCATTCCTCCTACATAGCAGGTAACAAATTGCACACAGCAGAGATCCCAGGGTCAGTTCATATTCCATACATACACATGGCTTTCATCTCCAGAAAAAACAGCACTCCATGGGTGTGCTGTGCCTTCTCTGCAAGCTGAAAATGCCTGAGCAACTCAGAGATCCCAAGACACTCTGACTTAACAACAGCTGGGAGCAACAGGGCCTCAGAAAAGCACAGTTCTCAATAACCAGCCTCTTCATGGCTGCATTTATAAATCCCTAGACAACTATGAAATAGAATGGGAAAGGGCAGTGGTAGCTGAAACAATCCATTTTAATACAGCCCTCTCAAACAGTGTCTGAGGTGATGAGTAGAAACATGGTATAATCTTTGACAGAATATCTGAGTTACTTTGTACTGGCACACCAATCTTCTAGGATATTTCTAGGACATTTTTGAAGAAAATTATATTAAGTGATATATGAGGATATTACTTAGAAATAACAAAAAAAACCTCTGGCATTCCTTAAAAAAAAGAAATCACACACAAAGCCAACAACAAAACAGGCAAGAAAAAAAACAACAGTAATTCAGCCTTGAACAGACACATAAGAGAAATATAAATAAAAATATCCAGATCAATAAAATAAAGTATTGGCCTACTAAGTGAGAGGGTCATGACAGAGAACACCAGTAGAGTGAAAGTTCCAACTGCTGTTGCAAGTTTTACAGTGAACTGAATTTAAAGATAGAAAGTTGGGGGAAAGAATCTTGCTTGTTTATGTAACTTGCTATCTTTCTTGCTTGTAGTCTGGTGAGTGCAGCAAAGGAAATATTTCCCTGAATATCTACAGCAGCTCTCTATAAAAATCTGCACATTTCATTGCAAACTGAATATAATAACAGTCTGTAGGCATCTGAAAGATTTCAAAAGAATGGTTAAAAAACCCCAGACATTGTTTATCTTAAACTGACATTTCATAGTCAAATCTTTTGTATGAAAAAAACAGTTTGAAAAAGAAATTATTTTGCTAGACAATTCTCATAACTACAGAAAAATCTTTGCTAGATCTCCATGACAACTAGGAAGTGTTAATTTGTTAGCTCAAAGTCCTAGAGGGTTTCCACCTGCCATAGCCTCATTACACACCATAAATTACCATTACACTTACATAACTAAGAAAGAACTCTGTCTGATGATTTGCTGTTACATAGCACATTCTACCTATTCAATTCCTTATTATATCTCAATTCAGCCACAGGTCATGAGGAAAAAAAAAAAGTTTTGAAAAACTGTCAGCCACTTTTCTGGCTCCAGTTCCAAGTTACACTGACCTGGTCCTGGTTGTCTGTAAAAAATAACAGTAGCCAGCAAAGTCTGTGTAAGTGAATGATGGTATTTGTCAAAAGAAGTATTTTTCCTGAGAAAAAAAAATATTTATTTCTGCCAAAATCCTCACTTCCAATAACATACGTACTCATGTGAAGAGAATGCATCATTTCAAGGCTAAATGCACCAAATCTACCACATCTTTTCGTACTCAACTTTCTCACTCAAAGGCTTGAGTGCCAATCATTATATTGCAATACTCAAAAAGGTATAAAAACCTACTAGTTCATAATAAACTACACCTTGGTAAACAAACATGTTTTAAATCATAGTGAGGAAAGAAAATTGGGAGAAAAACAGAATTCTGGAATTTCTTATCATTACACTTCATTGCTCTCCCCAGCCTAATAAAAATAGGAAAAAAATTAAAATTCTTACAGATTTCAGAACAGAACTACAGGAAAAAAAAGCAAAAGATCTGAACTCCCTGAAGAAAAGGAGTTGAAGAAAATACCAGAAAACTGGTTTTTATTTGGGCTCTGTGTGCATCTTGGGAAGTAAAATTCTAGAGATCCACAGTGGTAGCTAATAGTGCTGCTTAGGAGGCAATAGGCACCATTAGGCTGAGCTGCAGGAAATGTGACAGCAGTACCACACAGCTAAGAAGAAACTTAAAAAATACAAATATGTGTTTTGTTTTTTTTCTAATTAAGGCCTTCTTCAAATACTGCCAAATCCATTCTCCCTATCTTTTCAACAGATTTTTCAAGTTTAACTATACCCGTCCACACCAAAAAATGGAACAAAGACATGGCTTTTTTAATAAGCAAACTTTCATCTTATGGAGGTTACTCTAATATCAAAAGTTGTAGGTTTACTAAATTCTCTACATACTCTTTAGTGAAGATTCCTCGAGGCCCAGTAGGTGTAACATTGCTTGGATCTAGTCCGTGTGTCTCCAGAATGTTGCGAGCTGCGGGACTCAAGCGAACCCTGAAGAAATGAGGGGGAAAATTTAAATTATTTAAATAGCAAGATTAGCTTATTTCCTTGATGTATATCACGAGAAACTACATTTCTCTCTGGTCAACTACAAAGCACAGCACACTGGTACAGAGTAACCAGATAACCTTAATATGATTTGCTTTCTGAAATGAGGAGAAAAGCCAACATCTAGAGAAAATGTTTTAGAATTCTTAAATACAAAGCAACACATTCATAAAAAAATAAATACTTGGTTTCAAATCTTTCCACAAAAATCCCCTATTCATTATTTCCCAAAGGAGACTATATTTGCACTTCATTGAATTTTAAGAATAGTCCATTAAGCCCTTGCCAAAATAACCCCATGCCATAAGTGATCATTTGGTTCCAAACATGCTGATACGTCTCTAAGAGTTGCAGTGAAACAGCACTTCTGTTCTTTGGTACTAAAATGAAAGACACAATCCTTCCAAGGATCCTTTTGTGGATCATCCTCCTGCTGCAGGTAATACCTGGGCAATGACCTCAGCTGCCATCCACCTGCATGAGAAAAGCCTAGATGTTGGCAGCATTTAGAACACAGCAAACCAGCAGACAGAAAAGATAATGAGGTTTGGGAGGAAAAAAAAAATAAGCACAAGTAAGGAGTGATACCTCCAAACAGGATATATCCTGGGACACAAAGTGATTATAGATTATTGCTACCTGACTAACACCCTGGAGCCGACCCCTCCTCCAAGGTGTTTGCAATGCTTAGAATACCAACAAATCCAAACCAAACTAACAAAGAGCACATAAATTGACTGGTTTAAGTTTTTTGCACTCCACTGTTATGAAAATATTAGAATAATATTTTTTTAATGTCGAAAATGCAAGAGCTTGTAAGGACTTCGGAGTGTGCCGTTTCTTTATTTTTTCTCCTCAAATAAATAGAAAACAAGTCACAGGTACACCTGGCATCTGATGCATAAGCACTATTGTCCATCCTGTATTAGCACAACTTCTTTCCAAACTAAGTTTAGTATCCTTCATAATTTAACTGCAGGACAGAATATAAGTACATTTAATTCTATTAACATTGTGCTGTTTGAATTGACTTACTGGGCTTATGAGCAAAGCAATAGTCTAGGCCTGCAAGGTTTATCTTCTCAGTCATACTGAAACACTCTCAAAATAACAGCTACTAGGTAAAAAGGGACAAAAAGTATTTCTTGGTTCAGTTCTTCTGATCTAATGAAGAGTTCCGTTTCATAACAAACATAGAAACTTACTGCAATTTCCCAGGCTGATGTTGCAGTTTAGGAGGGGCTGAAACTGAAGGAGCTGCAGGAGCTGAGGCAGGTGCTGGTGGAGCCACAGAAGGTGGACTTCCAGCATCAGCTGGTATTTCAACTTGCTTCCAGTCCTGGCCTTCCTCTACCAGCAGACCAATTAGTGAGCCCAAGCGAACATTTTTGCTTCCTTCTTCCACCTAAATTAAGAACATTAAGTTACATATTACACTGTCTGCTCTGATATGACTAAAACCAGTAGACATCAAAGTTTCAGGCATATTAATGACAATTCATCAGTAAGATATATCCTATTTTATTGCTACTATTAATAAGATATTTCAAGACTGAAATTAATTATAATTGCTATTATAAGGAGAGGAACATTAAAGTATGCCCCAAACCCCATACACCTAAAGTCAGCACTCAGAAATTAAAGTAACTTTTTATACACACAGCCTTTGCAGCTCAGAACTAGAATAGAAAAAGAAAAATTATTACAATTTTGCTTAACTTTTCATCTCCTAGATTTTTGAGTCACTGCTACATTTTTGTTACTCACAATAAGAAAACCCCTGCATAAACCTCAATGAACCCTAGAATCTCAGATTTAGAAAGAGCTGAAATAAATAGAAGGACTCTAGGGTGCTGGACGCAAGCTAACAGTGTGGATTAGCAGCCCAGAAAGGCAAATGCAGGACTGTGGCCAGCAGGGCAAGGGAGATGATTCTGCCCCTCTACTCCATTTATGTGAGGGCCCACCTGCAGTGCTGTGTCCAGGTCTGGGGTCCTCAACAAGACATGGACCTGTTCAGAGTGGGTCCAGAGGAGGGCCACAAAGATGACCAGAAGGCTGAAGCAGCTCTCCTACAAAGACAGGCTGAGGGAGATGGGTTTGCTGAGCCTGGAGAAGAGAAGGCTTTGGAGAGACATTCTAGCAACCTTCCAGTGCTTAAGAGGGTCTTATAAAAGGGAGGGAGAGGGCCTTTTTATACAGGCAGGACAAGGGGCAATGGTTTTACAATCAGAGAGGTTTAGATTAGAAAGAAATGCTTCACTCAAAGGTGGAAAAGCACTGGAACAGGTTGCCTGTTAGGGTGGTGGATGCCCTATTCCTGGAAGCGTTCAGGGCCAGGTTGGATGGGGCCCTGCACAACCTGATCTAGTGAATGGCATCCCTGGCACAAGATGATTTTTAAGGACTCTTACAAGCTAAAACATTCAACGATTCTATGTAGCCAAGAAGAGTCAAAAAAATCCTAGCTTTGCTACCAAACCAACAAAGCACAGGCAACCGTGACAGGGGAAAAAAATTGGAGATAAGGTGAACAGAGAATAAAATTCCCTTGCAGCTTTTGCCACTGCAGCATAATGCTTTAGTCACTAACAAATACACACTGAAGTAAATGTTTATTTCCTCCACTGGGAAGAAAAAGAGACTGAACTTGCACTGGCTCATTCTGCAGTGGAATTTTTATACAAAGTATTTTCCATACCAATTCTTATTTAGGTCATGAATGAGAAAATGGTAACAGATACTAATGTTAGGGAAACTTTCCTGTCTGACCATCCAGGAGCCATTCTGGCAGTCAGTCTCACCACATGAGGAGGGACCAAAGCCCCTTCAAAGTGGGTGGCTCCAGTAACCCCATGGGTGCCTGACCTGGCTCCCTGCAAACCCTGCCCCCACATTCAGACAGGGCTTCCTCACCAGATTGACCTGGGTTTTCCACAGCAGAATCTCAGACACCTGGATCCCTAAAGCAATTTCAATTGTGGCCCAGTAACACAAAACCAGCTCAAGCTGGTGCCTCTGGGGAGGGACCACAAAAAAAGGAATTCCCATGCTTTCATACCTTCAGTCTGGGGTCTTCCTACTGAGTCCTTGGCTCCTGCTGTGTCCCAGTGTCCAGTCCCCTGGCTGGTGCCACAGGTCCCTGTGCCCTTTGCTGTGCAAAGGATCAGCACCCAGTAAAAGCCCCTTTTCTGGTGTTCCCACCACATCCCCCACCCAGGGAAAAACCTGCAGCTGCACACCCAATACCTACTCTAAGTCTATTCCTCAACAATTAATGACAGTTCCTAAACAATCATTCATCATCTGTTATGTTCCAAATTGAACCATATTTTAGGAAGAAAAAAATCAGTGTTAATTTAAGAAGCAACTCAACTGAAAGAATAGTCATCATTCTGAAATTACCCTTCTAATATTTCATTCAGTTATTTAATCTTTTACTGCATTTTACACTGAATCAGATGTGATCATTAAAAGACCTATTCAGACAGAGAAGAAATATATATGCATGAGTTTCTATTTTACTGTTAGCCTGTTTTTCCTAAACCATACATAGATTATACAGTCAAGAAAAACCAAGAAGGGTTACAGAAGTTGAATTAATTTGAACCTCCTAATGAACCTCCTATCTTTAAATGCAAAACCCAAAGCATTAAGCAGTGTGCTCATCTGACCCAAGTTTTCCATACTGAACTCTGTCAAGATGGTTCAGAATTGTAGCTGGCATCAAAGGCACAAACTTTTGTCTCATTTCTTTAGGAAGTGAGTGAAATCCAGCCAGATGATAGCTCAGAGGCATAAAACATTTTTAAATTCCCATTAACTACATCACATGTGAAAGTTCTGAGTGGCCCTTGGAAGCACAATCTTTTCAATAAGTAATCATCACCTCATCCACAAGCCTGGCACAGCTCATTTTATAAGCCTTACACAAACAGCTACTGAACATCTAATACAGAGCAGAAATATCCACCAGATAGTGCAGAAAGACAACCAAAGATCAAACACTAGAGAAAAAAAAATCTGAAAATTTCTGACCTTATTGGTCTCTAGTTATTTTAGTTTCTGAAACATCAGGTTTTCTCTGTACTTTTTAGGAGACTGGAATAAGAGCCTGTCTATCCTGTACTCTAACTCTTAGGCCCACCATTTCTAGATTCAGGGATTAAAAGAATCCATTAAAAATTGGGTTTGCATAATGATCTGTTCATGTTACTCCAACAAAGCTGCCTCTCTTCCCTTATTCTGAAAGATGTTATAGTTATTTCTACCTCCTGGCATCTCCTTCTCAGGTTCAGCTCTTGGCATTGGATTGTCACTGGATCATATAGATACAACTAAGGCTGAATGTCACTGCTCCATGACACTGATATCATCTAGCTGCTGCAGAGTCTGGCTTTGATCTATCAAAAATGTGCCACAAGAGCAATGCACAGAGAAATTTTGAAATTTGCAATGCATTTGAAATACAAGACAGGAAACAAAAAACCCCCACAGCTTCTGAAATACTAATGTTACTTGTAGCCATCATGAATTACTATCAAAGAAACTAAGCAAACTTCAATTTAATCTCTCTAGGATTAAGTCTTTAATACTTTTGACAGAGAGAATCCCCGTATCTCCCCCTCACACTATCTAACAAAGCAGTGACTGCAAAGGCACAGGCAAACTGATTTTCAGAAACATTCAAAACTGAAGGAGAGAGATTCAAAAATAGTGAAAGCATTGCCCAGCAATTATTTAAATAACTACATGGAGACTAAACACAGATTAAAAAATACGTCTGATGTGATACTTCATCCTGGCATGGCAGAACAGATCCTCTGAAACCTATTAAATGTGTTCTTCTATAGTTGAAGACAAACTTAGCAACATAATTAAAAGAAGGAAAAGTATTTTAAAAACTTTTGTTTTAAATACAGTAGTGCTTAAATACAAGTTATTCTGCAGAATTGAAGACTAATGAGTTTTTGTAAGCCCTGATAGACTTCATTTCCAGCTGAGTTCTATCTTACATCCCCTCTCCTCCCTGTATCTCAGCCCCCTATCAATCTCAAGACTTTCACTTTGGCAGAGGATGTTGCCTTTGCTTATACAAAAATAGGAAGACACCAAACAGAACATCGCTTTCCAAATGCTGCCACAGAGGAAACTACTCTCCCTTTTCTGTTTTTGCAAAGGATAACTGTGCAAATACATGCTGATGTAAGAAAATGCAGGTATAGCAGAGATTGGAAGTCTAATATACCAATCCAAAAAGCTTTTGTAATAGCAGCCCAAACACATGTCTGACTGAGCATAGGGTAGAATTTTCTCATGGTTCCAGGAACCAGTTTGTACCTGTTCCCATTCTGCTGTTTCCTAAGTAGCTGGACTGCAATTAATACCAGCATGCCTAATTTGTATGATTATGTGATCCACACCTCATGGGTAGATGTGCCCTAGATGAGATCTCCCTAACCAGATGACAATATTTACTGAAATACTCATCTCTCATTTTTATTCATTTTTTCCCAAATTCTTGCAATTCACCATGTTGTTTAATTATCTTGGAGGGAGAGAAGAAACAGCTGCAAGACACCACCAGCTGAGACTGCTTCAGAAAATTTCCTACTCATCCCAGTTCTTGTTCTTTCTATTAAGCTTAATCAAACTAATTTTGATAGAGGAAATCATTAACTCCAAGAACTCTTCTCTGGGTCAGCCCATGTTGTATAACATGCCACCTTGAATGACTAGCACAAGACAACCTAGCAGAGAGATGACACATCCTGGGTAAAGCACCACCCAAAATTCCAGATTCCTACTGATTGTTAACTGTTTTCCTATAACTCAGAGTAAGAGGTGTCATAAACTACAACATTTTGTGGACATAATTCACCAGGTGTAAAACATACAAAACAACAGCTTAAGTGAAAATCCATTAAATATATACAGAATCATGTACCATGTACCAATAGTCTGGTACACACATGGCACAAATGGGGCAATTATTTCTCCCCAGGAATACAAGTGCATATGTCTGAAGGCTGAGCAGAAATTCAGCTATCTAAACTAGTTTTTGAGGCAATATGCTAAACAACAGTCTGAAGTTATAACACCCTACTGAGAAATGCAGGATTCCTACCAGTATTTTAGCCAATATGCCATCATCACTTGATTCCATGGTAACCACTGCTTTGTCCGTTTCAATTTCACACAATGCATCTCCAACATTCACTGTGTCACCTGCAAAATACAACAGAACTTAAGAATACTTACCCTAAACTTCCTTTCAGATTTGTTTAACCATGGAAGATAGATATTCACCAGAGAATACAGTTATTTTGTATTCCTTAATAAATTTTATACCTGGTTGATCCCCTATCATTACTTATCATATTGTATCTTTCCTTTCCAAATAAAATCATCAAGATTCAAGAATCACAAGCTGCTGTGACAGAACACTGACATGTTCCCAGTACTGATGTTTTCAGCAGACTTTCCAAGGGGAAGTACAATCTTTTCAATAAGTAATCATCACCCCAAAATTTATTTTCCCCATACTCAGTAGCACTGCCATGAATAAAATACTGAGCCTTCCATATTCACTGCTAGCCACCAGTCAGAGCAAGCTATCTAAAACTGTTTAGGACAATGGTATCATAGTTCAGTAACTGGTGTCTACACTATTAGAGAAATTCAGATAAACCTCAGGAATTTTAATGTCTTTGGGAAAGCACAGCTGGAAGCTTGCTTAATCTCCTATACAGTTCAGAAAGGTCTTTTCAAGCATTCATTCATACTTACTAAGTGAAATAAAAATATGCACAAGTGCTAGAAATTGCTTTTGCTACATTACACAAATCCAAGATTAATTCTGAGGCATAATTTTCCTCTGCTTTTGAAGAATATCTGTATCTGCTAGCAGATGATAAAGATATTATGTGTCTGGATTATTTCAACAAATCAATACTGACTAGATGTCCAACACTAAAACTGATATTACATTAAAAACTGTTAGATAGTTGAATGTTTTGGGTTCCAACAAAAAACAGCTTTTTTCCTTATAGAGACATACAAGCCTAAAACATGCCTACAATTTCACATAAACTAAAATTCTAATATTTCCCCATTACCAGAAACACTACAACAGCATTACCTGTCTAAGCATTTAGCTGAACTACAGATATCACTCCATTGTGCTTAAGGAGCAGCATTAAAACCTAGTGCAGGTTACCATCTACATTTAGGTAAGAAACAACACTATAAAAAAAACCATCTCCTGTTTCAGGACTGCATGAATTAGAAAGGGAAAATGAGGTGCTGTACCTCATTTGTGTTGAATAAAAAACATCAAAAGCTCAGTTACCTACATAGTTTTATAAGTCATAAACGTTCCTATTACAGAAATTGGTAGAGAAATACACTTCATCCTTCATCTTTTTAATGTAATAATCTAACAGCCACATTCCACTTTGCAATAACTAGAGCATGAACAGTTTATAAGAGGAAGTCAAAACTCCATGCTCTATACGAGTGTTTTAATTTCACTGGATCATTAATTCAAGTAGGCCATACATCAGATCATTAGGCAAGTACTTCTCAGTTGTTAAGAAATCAAATTGTTGGGCAAATTCTCTAATTTACAGAGCTAAGATTGGCAAACAGAAAGGAGGTTAACTGTATCTTAATCTGCCATCAGACTCTAAGTGTTCTGCACCATTAAAAAGAAATCTCAGTTCTCAGAGACCAACAGCAGTCTCTCCAGCAGGGTGGGCCAGCCAAGCAAATACCTTCGTCCATGTGTTTGTCACATGTCACACCTCAACTTGGGTACCTGAAGCTGTTCCCAGAAAACTAACTTCATCTTGCACAGGGAGGGCAAGGAAGTCTTCAGAGGACTGGATAAACCACTTTTCCACTACCTTTGTCTAAATTTTCCTTTCATTGCTGCAGACAAAGTTTCCAGAAAATTGAAAGGCAATTGAATAAATGCAGGGTAAGAATCCACTTCAGTGCAGCATTCAAGTCCTGTGCCTGTTCCAGTACACAAGTGCAATAGATAGGATCATAGTTACTTTCATTAGAGATTACAGTATTTGTGATAGCTCCTAATCAATGCCCAGGTTCATGCCAATTACAAATCAGCTTTCCCAATAATTAGGATTTGAAAGAACACTTTTGCAAACCATATCTTTGCTTTTACACTTTAAACCAAGCAGTATTTGCAACAGAAGTTGCCTGAACCAAAGCTCTCTGAAATTATATATACAATGCCCTTGAAAAATTTTGTGTGGGGTTCAGGTTTTCTGTTTATTTGGTTTTTTTGGGGGGTTTTTGTGTTTCTTCATTTGTTTTTGATTTGGTTTTAATGATTGAATTCCCATAGCTAAGCTGAATGGTTAGGATCTCTACTGAAGCAGAGTTTCGTTCCAGGAAATCCGATTGGCATCCAATAGCCTTGGTGCTCTGTTCAACTACTGACAGACAAGTATCCAAATCACAAGATACAAACAGCATTTCTTAATGTTGCAAATAAAATCAGAGTTGACTGAACACAGATACTGAAGTCCCTGGAGCTGATGTCTCAAGAGGTAGCAGAGTTACACTGCATGTGGATGCTGCCAGCACTGTTGTATATTCTGTTTTCTGCCCACATTAACAAGAGGATTTTGGTCTCCTGGGCTGTCAGTCTACCAGCTTTCATCAACATTAAATTCATACATAATAAATACAAGTTTTTAGAAACATAGTTTTATCATTGTGAGAATGACTTTATTACCCACGGGAATCAACATGAAACTGCATTAACAATGAGAAGGAAAAGTAAAGCTATCAATTAAATTCAGGGCCCTCTCTTCTGTAGTAGTGAAATTATCTGTCCATCCTGTGAAACCATGAAATGAAAACATTTGAGACTTACACAAAGAACAGAAGGACTATCAACATAGTATTATACTGACCCCTTCTGGTTATACAGTGGGAAAAACATTTTGTATGCGAGCAGCTTGCTTCTGTCAACTGCTTAAAAATATTTATTTTCTTGGACATCAGATTGTCAAACATTCACAGTCAGCATTAACACTGCTTTTACATGGCAAACGCTCTAGAGGATTAAGTAGTTAAGAGCATTCCTTACAGAGAGGAGTGTAAACATTAAATCGCTTCACTATTTTCTTCAAAATTCATCTTAATTATGTCTTTATGTTTATTCTCTAGACTGTTAGAGGAAACAGAAGTATTGATAGCAATTAATTATGGTCATAGATGTGGCCAATAAGACAAAATATTATATTGGGGTATGGTCTTCTTTCTAAACAGAAAATCGAGCAATAAAAATACTAGCATAGTTTTCTTTCAAAGTCTAATTATCAATTAAGATTTTGTTGTAATTTAATTAAAACAGGTGTGAAGCTTTTTTTTCTTTTGCGTTAGGGTGGAAGGCTAGTGGAAAGACTGAGAAAAAAATTGTATCGTTTTTACATTGTAACACTGTTTTAATGAGAACAGTGGACTCATTCATGTTGGGAGCAAACTGGAATCTACTTCAACTCCTACCATGCTCTTTGTTTTCTTGTGCAATTTTGAATGCTATAATTACTGTAAAACAAGTTGATATTTAAATTTTACAACTATTGACAACTAACAAATATAAAAAGGACTTTGGATCATTCTTTCCTCTCTGCATCATCTTGGACTTTATTAACTAAAGCTTCAAGTTTCAAGAACACTGGTGCAATTTTTTTTATTGACATAAACTTCTGAATTGTTTCCAGTAAATTCTGCAAAATTCTTACTAAAAGTTTCATGAGCAAAAGACTAAGTCCACTACTGGAGCAAGAAGTTGTCTTCTAGCCACCTCTCAAAACGTATTCAAAATGTAGGAAAGCAAAGCTCTCCAGTAACACAACAATGGGAGCTGTATCAACACTTACAAGGATAAGCCAAAGGAAAAGGTTTATCTAGGCACAATAGTCAAAACATTTTAGCTATCCAAATTGTGTCTGTCAAAGATAGTAAGCTTTAAGATATTTTCTTTTCTCCAGATGTATTCATCTTTTCAGGAAATCTAAAAATGCCTGTGAACAAGATATATTCCTACCGCTATCCAAAAGCCTACAATGCACAATGAACAATATCTATCTGGAATCCAAAACTAAAGTCAAAATTCAGGTTTAATACTAAATTGAAGAAGGGACATGGCAGGAGTAAACAGGACAAAGGTCTCCTGACAGAACAGGAACCGCTGATTCTTCTACAGATCACTTTTTATTTACATACAACCTACGTGAAGGCAAAACTTGACTTTTACCCAGACTTTTTATCCAGTTGCTCCAAAATATTTTAGCATAAGCACACAGTTGTCAGAGAACAAAGTTCAGGCTTTTTTTTTGGATGAGGAGGTTGGTTTTCAGTTTGGGTTCTTTTAGGAAAAATCTCCCCATTTGGTATTAGGGTTATGGAAGGAATCTCAATTTCTCTCCATTTTAACTGTAGACTATAATTAAGGTATTAGAAAAGATATTCCAAAAATAGCATATCTTTCATGGTATTCCATAACACAGCAGAATAATGAAAGAGACCCTCTCCAAAGTCAATGGCTCTCAGACTTCCAAAGCTTCTGAGCAGCATGACAAAACTGGGAATTAAAAAACACACACTCAAACCCTGGAGGAGCCTAATGGAAATTTTTCAAAAAATATGATCAATGCAACCTTTTGGAAGACAATGAAGCAAAAAAACATTTCAAGAATGAACCATTTCAAAGCAGGTATAGTTCATGATGACAGCATCCCCACACCAAATACTTTGCTTCAAAATACTGATCTATACTATAGATCACTATACTGATCTATAACCAGGAAGAATTATTTTATTTTTTCTCTTATTTTTGTCTTCTTTATTAAGAATTATCTTATTTTTACAGAGTAGATTTACATAGCTGAAAAACTACAAAGAAATGTGACCACAGAAAATGCGATCTTACCTTCCTTTTTTAACCATTTCACAATGTTTCCTTCTTCCATTGTTGGAGAAAGTGCAGGCATAAGAACTTTAATACCAGGTGTACCTGCAAAACAAGCATGTGGTTATCTCAACAGGTACTTTTTCAGTATAATTCTTTCCTCAGTTAACTGCTTAACACAAAAGAAATTAAAAGTGCATGAATCTGAAAGATAATTGAACATGGGATTCACTATGATGCTCTTTTTAAGCTTACATACAAGCAAGCCCACCAAAGAGCTCAAAGAAAAAAAGGCCCATTACAAGAGAAATGGAAATTCACAAACCCTGAATTCCTAGACCTGAAGTTTTATTGATCACATCAAAATACATCCTCCTTCTCCTCCTTGACTCAGGCTGTGGAATTTTTTCCAGATTAAAGTATATCTTTTAAATTAATAAAGCCTTTGTGATCCTTGTATCATCTGGATGCTGATGACACATCTCTTTCACTGATAAAGTTTGTTAATGTTTATTTATCATTTTTACTATAAAATTATATCTACTTTGCAGAAATTGCTTGATTTCAAGTTTCAGTGATTTTGTCTTGGCTCAGTAAACCCATATGCAGAAGCAGCACTGTGTAACAGCAACTGTGTGCCATGTTAGTGGGATTCTTCTGAGGGCAGAGCTCAGGATACAGCACAGAGCTTGGCTTCACAGCAAATTACACCGCTTGTCACCTGATCCTCTACACCAAAGAGGACATTAATATGAGAGATACTACTTTCTGAACTTTTAAATATACTTATGAGGCCAAAAAAAAGAATCTTTCTAGATCCATTTTGTAAAAGCAGCTTTCCAGTACCTGACTTTTGAGGCTCTTTCTTGAACTATTGTTTGAATTTGTGTTCAGTTACAGAACAGAAATAGACACATAGAAAGTACATTGTATACAATGGCAAGGCTTCTTTCTGTTTCATATTCCCTTTTCTCTAATACCCAGCATTAAGGATTGTTATCATTCTTTAGGAAATAACATCACATTTCTCCTAGCTGCTGTATTGCTTGGAGTAGTCAGAAACAGCTAAAAAAAACCTTAGAAATTAATAATTTTCAGGTTTTTCCTTATTATCTGTTTTTCAGCTCAAAATTCTTCTAAGTTTTTTTTTTCCTTGCCCTCTTTTTTTTCCAAAGGCTGTGCTAAGGCACATGGAGAACAGGGAGGTGATTCAGGACAGCCAGAACAGCTTCACCAAGGGCAAGTCCTGCCTGACCAAACTAGTGGCTTCATAGGATAGAATGACTGCACCAGTGCACAAAAAAGGGCTATGGATGCCACCTCTCTGGACCTACAGCATTGCTCTCTGTAAATTGATGAAATAAGGATTTGATGGGTGGACTGTTTCATGGGTGAGGAATGGGTTGGATCTACAGGGTAGTGGTCATCACCTCAATGGCCCCATGGACACTGGTGACAAATCTGTTAAAGGTGCTGGCACATGAAAAGCTGTGATGTGGCAGGTTGTGTGTGTTGTGTTGCCTTATTTGCCCAGAAGGCAAATATAGCCTGGGACACAAAAATCAGCGTGGCCAGCAGGTCAAGGGCAGTGGTTCTGCCTCTCTGGTCTGCTCTGGTGAGATCCCACCTGGAGAAACGCATCCAGCTCCTGAATCCTCAGCATAGGAAAGGCATGGATGTATTGGAGGGGGTCCAGAGGACAGCCACAAAAATTATGAGGGAGGAAGCCCCTCTTATATGAAGAAACATCAAGGGAGTCAAGGTTGTTCAGTCTGGAGAAGAGAAGGTTCCAGGGAGACCTTACTGCAGTCTTTCAATAGTTACTAAAGGGGCTTTTAAGACAGATGGGGACAGACTTCTTAATTGAGCCCACAGCAATGGAGCAAGGGGTAGTGGCTTGAATTTTAGACTGGCTGTAAGGAAGATTTTTACAATGACAGAGATGAAACATAGAAACAGGCTGCCCAGAGTGGTGGTGGATGCCCCATCACTGGGAGGTTGGATGGGGCTCTGAACATCCTGGTCTATTTGAAATGCCCCTGCTCATTGCAAGGGAGATGGACTAGATGACCTTTTAAAGGTCTCTTCCAATCCAAACCACTCCATAATTTTTTTTAAATGTGACATGGAAACATTGTACCAAACCTCTAATGACCTAAGAAGCCATCAATGATCCTGACATTTTAAAATGCACCAAGAGCAGAAAGTTAGTTATTCCCTAAAGTCCCCAAGACAGCAACACAATCAGGATAATGCTACCAAAACCACTTCAGTTTTGTGGAAATGAGCTCAATTGCATGGTTGATGTTCCCAGAAGACTGCATGAGTAAATGCACTTTTTTTTTTTCCCCTCAGTCTTTCCACAGTAATTTCAGTTTAATATTACTCATGACTGTCATGCTTAGAAATGTATCCAGACAATGTTCCTTTTAACACTCACAATTTCCATCTGAATTACCTCCATGCATTTTCTTTAAAAAGTCTCCTGCAACTTCTCATCTAGGACTAACAAACAGAAAAATGAACTGTGTTATGGATGTGAATGCATACCTGTGTTCATTTCCCAAATAAACATTTGAAGTATGATTGACAAATTAAAGTACAAGTTAACAATTGTTTTGTACTATACATATTTATCCAAAAAAAATATTTCTCAATAACAGCATGTAGGAAACATTATACATTACATGATACATTATAGGATGCAAAATGTTCTCAGTTTGATTAGTCTAATTCAACTTGACAAGTCTGACTCTGACAATCAAAACATTATTTTGAACTCATATCCCACAAATATCTAGGTTTATTGAGAACTAGTGGACAGACCTCATTTTAAAAAGTGAAAATAATCCACATTTTTAATGAGGAAAAATTAATTCTTAAAAACAGTGGTTCACATTTCTCTTCCATGAAGAGCTACTTGATTCATTTCCCAGAATATGCTTTGTACTTTGGCACAAATGCAAAAACTGAGCAACAAATTTGTGCCACAATAACATTTTCCCTTCAATGTTATGAGCAAGTACCACAAAATATACAATCCATTCTGGTCCTTTCATCGAGTTAGGAGAGGAACTCCAGCAGCACCTAGCCATGAAATGGAGTGATAAATAAAACTGGATACAAAGTAGAAATCAGGACCTTGTGCACTCGTCTAATGCTTATTCCAGAGAGGCCCATGCTCAGAGAAGTTCAGTGCTGTTGCAATTAAGAGCTGTTTTAGTTACTTTTGAGTTAATGACCATGCACAAACCAGGCTTCACTGTGCCTCCTCAAAGAAAAGCAACCTTACAACGTAGAATTACCTTCACCAAATATTATTTGCCTTCATTAAATTAAAAAAGGGGATAGTGAAAGCAATCACTGCATTTACATAAGTTAGTTGCACTGTACAGGCAGCCCTTACAAGCACCTTGGGAAGTCAATATTGCTGCTTTGCAATTGTGGGTCAGCAAAAAGTCCTGGCAATCTGCACAGAATCTCAAAGGCTAAGCTCATGGGCAGATCAGAATTTAGAAACATAAGCAAGTAAAACTTCTGAACTTCCAGTCACCATCCACTGATTTTTACTTCTATCAACTGCAGCTGTGTTATTACACTTCAAAAATGTGAATATAAAAGGAGGAAGACTCAAAAAGAACCCAAACAAACTTCACAGAAACAGGAGATTGCTATTTTAAAGACAGCTCTCTGTGAATCCAAGAGAATTTGTTTTCTGGTGACACATTTTAACTGTGGAGTCTGGCAACATTTCTGCTGCCTTCCCTCTCCATGAAGGCATTCAATGCAAATTTAACCTGTCCCACCAGAAAGATATTTCATAACTTCCTACACACACTCTGCAGTCAGTAGAGAATTGAAAAATGTACAGCAACTTAACACCAATGATAAGATTATGAAACATTAAAAACAAAGAAAAATTGACAGACTTTAACATAAGGAGGTCACGCTATTCTATTTTCTCATTTTCCTATTTCTGTGTGACCAACAACTAGGAATTCCATTCTGAATTAATTGTTTTAATTATGCAAAACAACTTTACCAGCACCACAAACAAGGACACAGAAAGAAACAAAAAATTCATGTGACTTGATAAACTAGATCCACATGAACCAATAGTGGTTCAAATAGTGACTTTTTCAGAAACAGAAAAGCAGAGAAATAAAATCAATGCTAAAATAAAATTTACTTAAACTTACATTGTCAAACTAGGAACCAAGGGTGAATTTTATTTCCAACTGAGCTGTATTTTACCAGGGAATTTATGACTTCTCATCTTTAATTCTAGAAGCAACAATGAAGTTAAGAAAAATGGTATCACTAAAATACACATCACCTTGGAAAGCTGTAAGTACACTAAGAGGGGCTGAATGAGGAAAGCCTGAATGAGTTAAAGGTGTGATCTATCCACCCTAACACTTTAAAGCTTACTGTGAGGAATTAAAAGATATTAGTCACTCGCCTATCCAAATTTAGAAATTTAATTCCAGCTATATATTAAGTACTCTCAACATAAAAAACACAACAGATTGTCTGGGAGAACTATAGACAAAGTTCTTTAAGGAGTTAAATAATAAGACCAATTCAGAAGTAGTTTATCATGCATTATATTATATTTGCATACTATTATATGTAGAAAGAAGCAAGCTTTTTCTAATAACATTTATTTCAAGAAAGGGACAGACTTCCCTGTGTCACACACAGCAGGTTTTACAAAGGAAAAGATTTTCATACTGCAAAGTAGCAAAGGCAGCAGTGCTGGTAAGAAGGGGATGTTGAGGTCTAAACCACAATGATGAAAGTGGCTCTGAACTACTACTGAGTTTTATTACACAAGCTTAATGAAAGCTCACTGTTTTGTAAGTGCACTCAAACCTCAAAGAGTTCAGGTTCTTCATGCTCAGCATCACACCAGGACCTCATGACAATGCACCGGATCACTGTTTAAATGTTTACAAGTTGTAACTTACAGAGCAAGTAGGGAAAGATCAAATTTCATTTAAGGATGCGTAACTCTTCCCACATCTCTTAGAGACAGAGGAAAACATGGAAGGGTAAATGATCTGCCTGATAATCGTGCAGCAACAAACTCCTGAAAAATACATCTTGAAAGGGTGTTGTCATAACCTCACACCTTGACTTCTACTTAGGAAAGCATGCTAGATATGCAATTAATAAATTCTATTTTTCCCTTAAAAAGCCAAATAGAATTGCATAAAAAATACATCACACACCCTTCTCCAGCTACCTGAAACATTACCAGGAGAGTAAGATGACAAAAATGTAGTGCAATTACCAAACATGGACCAAAACAACCAAATAGAAAAAACTTTCTTTTTCAGTGCTTAGCTATACATCCACTTACAAAACACACTCCTGTTTTCAATGGTGAAAACTCTTTCCTTATCCACAACAAAATATTTTCATATTTGAAGGCTTAATTTTATTTTCCTCTGTAGATTTCACTTTGTTCCTTTTCTAGACCTTTAACAATTCCCACATGTCTCTCCCAGTTCTCCTACACATCCCGATGTGCTTTCAGTCCCTCCAGAGACCGAGGCAAACACAGCCCCATACTGGCCTGCTCGCCCTGCTCCCGGGGCTCCTGCCCAGCTGTGCCCAACACACCGCGGGCCCCACTCGCCTCCCCACCCCGGGAACCCCCCGGGCACCGCAGCTCCCGGTGCCCCTACCCAGCTCAGGGAGGGCTGTGTCACACAGGAGGGAACCCACGCTGGAGCAGCACACGGAGGGCTGTGTTACACAGGAGGGAGCCCACGCTGGAGCAGCACACGGAGGGCTGTGTCACACGGGAGGGAGCCCACACTGGAACAGGGCAGGGGCTCCGGCTCCGCTCCCCGAGCAGCGGCACTACAAGCACGGGATGAACGGACCGTAACCCTCGTTCCCGTCTCCCTGCGCAGCCGGAAGAGAGGAGGCAGGGCAGGGTGAAGAAAAGGTGTTTGGGGTTTTTCTTCCCCCCTTTGCATTATCCTGCTCTGATTCTGATTGGCAGTAAAATCAATATCCCCAAATCGAGTCTGCTCTATCCACGACAGTCACGGAGCAGTGGTGTCTCGCTGTCCTTATCTCAGCACCTGAACCTCCTGCTGTATTTTCTCTCCCTGCCCAATTGCGGAGGAAGCTGTAGAGGAGCTCCGCTGAGTGCCTGACATCCAGCCAGGGTCAACGCGCCGCAGCCACCCGCTCTCAACCTTCTCTCCTCGCAGACACACCTAGAGCAGGGCACCAGCCCGCCACTCACCCAGCAGCTCCCAGGTGCCGTGCAGGTGCCTCCATCCTGGCCGGGCGGGCAGGGAGAACCCCGCACCCAGCGCCGAGCGCCCGGCCCGCAGCAGCCGCAGCAGCCGCTCCCCGCCGCCGCTCAGCCACAGGGACGCCGCCATCTTCCCCCGCCCCTCGACCGCGCCGGGGCTGCCCCGCTGCCTGCCTGAGCAGAAATAACCGGGCACGCCCCCGGCGCCAGGGGCCAGCCTCAACGAGCCCCCGTGCCCCGCCCGCGGCACCTGCCGTGGCATTGGCCGCCTCGATCGCCCCAGGCACGGGCAAATCCAATCGCGCGGACACCCGCCCCCAGCCTGGCAGGTCGTTCCCGGGGCACACCTGTCTCTCCTCTGGTCCCTGCCGGCTCTCGGCCCGGGAGGAGAGCAGCTGCCTCTCCATCCCGCCCGCCGCGGCTCGGCTCGCTGCCCGCGGCCGGGCCATGCCCAGCGCTCCGCAGGCGCCCGCGCGGCGCCCCAAAGAGGCCCCCGAGCAAGGACCCCGCGCTGGCCGCGCCATGGCGGCCGCCGGCGGGGACGCGGCGCAGGTAACGGGGCCGGGGGGCGGCGGGCCGCGCCACCGCTCCGAGAGCCCCGGCAGCGCGGGGCTGGGCTGCTCCTGAGCCTCGCCAACTGGCCAGCAGCCTCGCAGCTGCTGATTAAGAGGGAGGCCCTGGGAGTACTGGTGGATGGCAAGCTGACTGTGAGCGGGCAGCGTGCCCTGGCGGCCGGGAGGAAATTCAGGCGAGATCCAGGCAGAGCCAGTGTCCGGCACTCCTGGAGCAGTGATCATAAGCTAAAACACGAGTTCCACCTCGACGCGGGCATGAACTTCTTTACGCTGAGGCTGGCAGAGCTCTGAATAGGCTGCCCAAGGGAGGCGGGGAGTCTCCCTCCCTGGAAACATTCAAAGCCCAGCTGGAGGTTTTCCTGTGTCACCTGCCTCGGCACCGGGATTGCACTGAATTGTCTCCAGAGGTCTATTCCAACCCTGGCTGTTCTGTGCACCTGTATAAACGTGTTGTAGAATTTAGTACAATTTCCAGAATGTTGCCAGCTGTCAGACTGGCGTCTACAGGACTCATGGCTGTTTTTATGTTAACTGGAGTTGTTTAGGTTTGTTTTGTAATTTGGTTTTCTTTTGGTTTTTTGAGTTGGTCTTTGAGTGGGGTTTTATGTATCATCACAACCAGAAGATGAGGTGGCAGTGCTGTGTTTCATCAAACACTGAGCATTTGGAGGCATTGCCTGGACAAGGCTCAGACACCTCTGAGGTTTGTGTGTGACACTGGTGGAGAGACCAGCCCAAGCTTCAAAACCAGCCAGAAGTGACAGCAGGGAGATGAGAGGTATCAGCAGCCTAGATAATGTGGCCTGCCAGGAAAGTGGGAAAGAATCCAGTTCATCATAAACAAAGCAAAGCAACAAAAAAGAGCAGCAGGCTGAGTTGTTGTAATACATGAAACATTGTTACAGTGTAGGTGAGAGGGAAGACCATCTCCTGCATGTCCGCCATCCTTGGTAAGACAGAGCAAATCTCACTGTCACTGGAGGTTGTAAAGATGAGGTTGGAGTAGGAGATTCCAAACATTGTCAAACGTGCCCCAGGTTGCCGTCTCCAGGAATTCACCTTCCCACTCTCCACTGCCTCTGCCTCGTGCTCCTGTTCCATCCCCACCCTTAGCTGTGCAAGTCCAGCACCACCTGGAAGCACTTCTTTCTAAACATCTCAACATATTGGCATTAATGACCACTGCCTGCCGTTTTTGCTGTGTGCTGCTTTTGCTTTGGGTCTCTCTATTTAGTTGGTGTTGACAAAATACTCCCCCCCCAAGGTGGATTCTTGCTGCTAAACAAAATATTTTTCTTGGAAATGGTTTTGGTGGGCATTAATGACCAAGATGAGCAGTAGAGCAACTAACCATTTGTCATTTTAGAGAACTTTTAAAGCTTCTAGTTGCTGCAATAAAAAAAAAAAGAATCCTACATAAAAGCACACCATAAAAGCAGCTGTTTTACTGTGGTAATGTAGGTAGAAACCTTACCTCTGACAGCAGAGATACCTTTGGTTAATATATAGATATAGATATTAATGCAATAAACAATGGAATATGGAAAAAATGCAAGATGGATTTTTTTCCTCCTAAAGAAATATTAAAATAATGCTATTTTCTTTCTTACTAAACTGCATGTAAAGTAACTTTATGTAGTAAAAATGTAGGAATGTAAAGTTCTTAAAATAATTTGCATATATTTTCTGTGGTATTTTTGAGTGCTATTTAAAGATGTGTATTGACTAATAAAGTCTGTTCTACTGAAATTTGTAAATCAAGCAAAATAAACGTACAGAAAAACTGATTAATAGGAAAAGTATTAGTCAAGCTTTTAAAAATTGGTAATGTTAGATGCATTTGTTTTCCCTTCTTCTTTGTGCAATAGTCCATAATATACTCCTGCTGGTATAATATCTATGGGCCACTGCACTCAAACAAATTTTAGGTGAGACCTTTCCTGTGAAGGATAGTCAGACTTGCACCTTATTTGAGGTTTTGTTTGTTTCAATGTGTGATGTCCCTGGCAGAGCATTAAGGGCATTGTGTAAGCATGCAGTTATTTTGTAATTGAAATTCATTAGCATAAATTAGACAATTTTGCTGCAGTATGAAAGTACTAATCCTTTAAACTCAGTTTGAGAGCTTGAAATCTTAGGTGTGAGGTGTTTCTGATGGTTTCTCATTTATTTATTTAATTTCTTTTTAGGATGGGTTACATCCAAGGAATCTTATCCCAGAGCTTTGTAGGCTGTTTTATGGTTTAGGCTGGGTAACAGGAACTGGTGGAGGAATCAGCTTGAAACATGGGTAAGTGATGATGAAAGAGAGACAATGTGGTGGTGAGAGAGGTGGCTGTGTTTAGTACTTGGTGAGGGCTTTTCAGCTCCATGAGAAGTGTTTGCAAGTTGGAAGTGGGCAAGAAGTTAGAGGGGGAAATGAGCAGGGTGCCAAAATTAACCATGTGGAGGAAGGTGAATAGTCTGAATTAATCATTGCAGTCCCTTCAATGGGAAGAGACAATGTCAAAGAGTGACCTTATCCTGTCCTTTTTCCTACCTTTTTTTAAGGTAGATGAATTGCCTTTAAAGAACAACGTGTTCCCCCTTTTTCACTTCACTGACTATGGAATTGAGCGGGTTACATCAGGCACACGGCTTTCAAATGCCTGTGGTTAAATAAGATCAGTCTCACCCTGGATGTATTTCACAGGCCAGATATTTCCTCTCAGAAGGAAACTGCTTTGCACTGAGGCAATTTTTGAGGAGACAAATACTTTACGTATAATTAAAGCACAACAGGTAACAACAATTTTTGGTCTGTGTCTTCTACAAAGAAGCACCACTTTGTGTTTTAATTTGCCTGTCTCCCACCTCTTCATAATCTCCAATCCTTTTCGTGGGAACAGAGCTCCTCTCAGTGGCCACTGAAAAGAAGATAAACCCTCATTGTGCAAAGAGCCTTGCACAGTGCCTGCAGTTCCGTGCCCAGTCACCAGGCTGTGACACGACCTTGAGAGTATCTGACCTCTCATTTTTCTGGTGTACACTTGCATGCACAAACAGCATTGCTATTCAAAAATCTGTTATATGTGTGTGTGTATATATATATGTGTATATATATATATATGTAAATGAATAAAGGACATATACATATATATATATATATGTATATATATATGTATATGAATATGAATAAAGGACCCTAAATGCTCATATTGATGCTGTTTGGACTTTGTGCAGGTCATTTCACCTCCCTGCTTGATTTTGCATGGAAAGCCACAACAGTAATAATGAATGAAAATAGTAAATTCTGTGGGAAGACCTTTCTAGCACTGATTTGTCATCAGTACCTAAATGTAGCCTATTTTCTTTGTCATTCCAGTGCAACTCCTGTTGGTTTTGGCAAGACAACTGGCATTATCAGAGAATGCATTAATATAGTTTTCCTTAGTAGTTCTATAGCTTGTTTTCTTGGCATTGTTAGAAAGGAAAATGTAAAGGAACAGTTGAAATTTGATTCAAATATAACAACTGTTTTTACCAGGTAATCTTAATCAGCCTTACTCGCTGTGCAGTTCATATCAACTATCAAGGAAAACAAATGCCAATTTGGACTTGGCATAGCATGTTAAAAATGGATGTAGAATTATTTGTGAGGTATCTTGTCTTTGAAGACTTTATTTTATCATCAGATTTTTCTCTTTCTGGTTAAGTTCTAAAAAATAAAAAAATCTGGTTTAAGAAAAATTGTGTGTCTGTCATAAGTAACTGAGTTTACCACTTAATTTCTTATCTTGCTCATACAAATGAATCAAGACTAAATTAATGCAATGCCAGCAGTGCTAATTCATGTATGTCAAAAATTATAAATATGATAAAGCCACATTTTTCTGTGCTTCACAGACATTTTACCACATAGTACACCATCTTAAGAGTTTCATTTTTGGAAGAATTAAAATCATAGAATTATTTAGATTGGTAAAAATCCTTATATCGTCGAGTGTCCAACCATAAACCTACGACTGCCAAGTTCACCACTAAACCCCATTCCTAAGCACCATGCCTAAAGGTCTTTTGAAAACCTCCAGAAATGGTGAGCCAACTGCTTTCCTGGGCAGCCCATTCCAATGCTTGGTAACACTTTCAGTGAAGAAATTTTTCCTGATATCCAATTTCAACCTCTCCTTATGTAAATTGAGGTAATTTCCTCTTGTCCTGTCGCTGGTTACCTGGCAGAAGAGACCAACCTCACCTGACTACAGCCTCCTTTCAGGCAGTTGTAGAGAACAGTGAGGTCACCCCTGAGCCTCCTTTTCTCCAGGCTAAACACCCCCAGCTCCCTCAGCTGCTCCTCACAAGACTTGTGCTCAGACCCTTCTCCAGCTCCATACTCTTGTCCAGAACTACAAAGATCCCATGGTCCATAGGAAACGTGTCTGTAACTTGACTAATTATTCACTAGATGTCTCTGTGCTCCTGAATTTAGTACGTGACTGCTGAAGCCAAATAGTGATTGCAGTTCAGAGACAGAATATAGTTGGGGTTTTTGTGTTAATAATGAAAAGAATGCAGTGCCATCTTGAAATCATTTT